CCCCCCTCCCCCCCCCCCCCCCCCCCCCACCCCGCTTCCACCGCCTATCCAATTCCATTATTTACAGTTGGCGCATGGAGAAATTGCGCCAGGCATTTTTTGGAAATTCTTCAATTGAGAAATCTAGAAAACAACCAGCCGTAAGAAACAATAGAGATGCAATTCATTCAACCCGATCAATGATAAAAACCAACACGAAATTGATTTTTTTGCTCACTTAAGTTAGTCTTTTTTTTGCTTACACAACAGACTATCTATACATGAAAACGTAGACCACAAAATAAATAACTAAATCATGTACATTTTTTAATCAATGTGCAACAGCCAAAGTAGCAAAGCTTTCAAGTTGGCGGCCGCTTGTTTTCAAATAAGGACAAGAAAGAAGAAGGAAAACATTCTTTCATTTTAGATGTTGTTGTCGGTTCCTTTCATGGGTACACATTTGCAAGAGAGGGAGCTCTTTAAAACGTGGCCGACCACCATTAGGCTAGAAAGCCATGTTGCTTTTTCTTCCTTCTTCATTACGATGTCAATGTAAGTAATGACTATCATTACAAGAAAATAGATATCATCTTTATTACGTATTTTGCCTCACCTTCGATTTTTTTTTTTTTGAGCGATAAACTGAAACATGTTTATCACAGTTCCTGGCCGAGTTGTCAATGAACTGATAGCTACCTGGTGTGCCAGTATTGAAGGGTACGTCTTTATAAAAATAATACCCTACAACACCCACTTTGATATTAAAGTATTCTTCTTGGAAGTGAAGGTGAACTCAAGCATGTTACTGAAGGCATGACCCAGAGCCTAATTTGCATATCCACTGGTTTCGGTTTGCGTGTATTGTATACCAGCGCAAAATAGCCCCTTAGATATAAAAAATGCAGTAATATTTAGAAATTTGTGGGGGTTGCTCGAAGACTCTATTGGAATACAAGAAAACAAGATTATGAGAGGCGGACCAATTTGAGGAGATACAATACCTCCCTTGTCAAAAGAACGGATAATCAAGTAGAATCTGAACTTGGTTAACTCACGTCTGAGCGAAAAGGTAGATGGACATTTTTACCATTGCCAAAGTGGAATGAAAATTTCAATGCCTTTTATTATTCAAAGGTACTTGGTCATAGATCAGTTTATCATCACTGAGTTTAGTGAAGCTGCCACTGAAGTTCCATAAAACTTCGTTAAGAACACGTGAAGAGTACGAACGAACAGGGTTAAAACGATCCGTTGTGTAATGACGAAGGTTTTAGGCAGTGTTCGTTCCACCCACTTGCTAGACTGTCTGAGAACGGTAAAAAGAGGCTGCGCGGGAGCGTACCAGCTGCCAGGCAGTTTGAAAAACCGAAAAAGAGGTTTTTGTCATTGTTTCTCTCACAACATAAATGCATGCAATCGACATTTCAAAGTCTCACTTGTAGAAAAAGTAGAACTTTCATTGAAAGTTGTGGTAAACAACTGGATATCTTTTCCAGTAATGAGGTTGGTTTCATCGCAATAGCCAAATGTGCCATTTTTAGCACAAATTGTGCATCTCGTTTGACACGCGCGAGGGTGCCGCACAAAGGATAAATAAAAATGGCGTCGGAAATTACCTCAGTAGGAGATGAATAAATTCCATTTCTTTCCTCATTACCTCCTCTGAATTTGAGGCAAGACCTTGAAGAGAAGCTCTTTGACAATAACTCTAAATGTGAGGACTGTGAAAGTAATACTGCTCATGTTAAACACGTGAGTGAGAGTGTTTTTGACGAAGATGTGGGAGATATCGTGCGATGAATTTTCCGTTCGAACGAAATAAACAAACAAAAAAACTTGCCCGGAAAAGGAGGGCGGAAAGTTACTACAACAACAACAACTAATAATTATAAGTAACTTTCCTCAAATATATCTTTGAATTCATGATAAATACACTCCACCAGCTTCAAAGAAGGTCTCAATGGGTTGGTGGCGTTTACGGTTATCGAATGAAATTTTGGCTCTTTTACGGCTATCCGTTGTTGTGTTTTTTTTTCCAGTTACGGTTAACAAAACAGTTAATTATTAATTTCAGCTCTTTGAAACAAAAGAAATATTTACAATCTTAATTAATCTGTATTTTAGTATCTTTAAAGCAAAATAAATAGGATCATACCCGGATGAAATGAGTTATTCTTTTTTAAAAAAATTAAGATTTCTAAGCATTTTTGTGCAATTTTGCGGCGTAACCAGCGTTGCTAAATAACTTTGTCCTCAACTAGAACCACAAAATGTAAATAGCCAATAAAATTGTTGAACGACCTTCTTCACCCGAAACACTCAAGTGAGTGTCTTCATTTTCACCCATTTCAACTAACCCTGAACAATTAACAATATATTGTGACGGTCACACGTGCCTGACACAAAAAATCTTCAGATACGCATGATACCACGAAGGCTAAGTGTACGCTTCGATAGCGTCTTGTTGCTTCTGCTGAAGCTACTTGGTCCTCTGATCAAGCTTCTCCAACAGTTCATCAATTGTACAGTGCAGTGAGCCTTCAGCTTGAGGTTTCTTCCTTTCACAACGTTTAATCTCCTTTATAAGAGAACTAAATGATGTGAAAGAAAGAAACCTCACGAAACAGCCTCCTCTTGATTTCCTCTCGCGATTTCTTTAGCCGCTGTAACTCTTTTTTCAACTTATTTTCTTTTAACTTTTTCGATCTTTGGCCAGATCGGTGAGATTCTTTTGAGATTTTTCCAACTTCTCTCTCTGGATCTGATTATNACGAAGATGTGGGAGATATCGTGCGATGAATTTTCCGTTCGAACGAAATAAACAAACAAAAAAACTTGCCCGGAAAAGGAGGGCGGAAAGTTACTACAACAACAACAACTAATAATTATAAGTAACTTTCCTCAAATATATCTTTGAATTCATGATAAATACACTCCACCAGCTTCAAAGAAGGTCTCAATGGGTTGGTGGCGTTTACGGTTATCGAATGAAATTTTGGCTCTTTTACGGCTATCCGTTGTTGTGTTTTTTTTTCCAGTTACGGTTAACAAAACAGTTAATTATTAATTTCAGCTCTTTGAAACAAAAGAAATATTTACAATCTTAATTAATCTGTATTTTAGTATCTTTAAAGCAAAATAAATAGGATCATACCCGGATGAAATGAGTTATTCTTTTTTAAAAAAATTAAGATTTCTAAGCATTTTTGTGCAATTTTGCGGCGTAACCAGCGTTGCTAAATAACTTTGTCCTCAACTAGAACCACAAAATGTAATGAGCCAATAAAATTGTTGAACGACCTTCTTCACCCGAAACACTCAAGTGAGTGTCTTCATTTTCACCCATTTCAACTAACCCTGAACAATTAACAATATATTGTGACGGTCACACGTGCCTGACACAAAAAATCTTCAGATACGCATGATACCACGAAGGCTAAGTGTACGCTTCGATAGCGTCTTGTTGCTTCTGCTGAAGCTACTTGGTCCTCTGATCAAGCTTCTCCAACAGTTCATCAATTGTACAGTGCAGTGAGCCTTCAGCTTGAGGTTTCTTCCTTTCACAACGTTTAATCTCCTTTATAAGAGAACTAAATGATGTGAAAGAAAGAAACCTCACGAAACAGCCTCCTCTTGATTTCCTCTCGCGATTTCTTTAGCCGCTGTAACTCTTTTTTCAACTTATTTTCTTTTAACTTTTTCGATCTTTGGCCAGATCGGTGAGATTCTTTTGAGATTTTTCCAACTTCTCTCTCTGGATCTGATTATTCTCTTCCAGCCACTGTCGCTCTGATCGCAGGTTATAAATCACTGCAGCTTGTTGGGCTATGGTAGCATTTTGTTGGTTTACAATTGCTAATAGCTGCTCGTAGCTATATACATCTGTGCCATCCTTAGTCGACGGAAAATTTCAAATTCTTCAGAAGAATTTTTTGGGGAGTAAAAATCACTTCACCACTCTATATAATCTTTCCGTTAAGTTTCAATTTCGTTTTTCTTCTTCCAAAAGTGAGGTTTAATTTAGTGATGTCATAAACAATCCTCCTTGCTAATTTCTTTTGCGCGTGCAAAGGCTATTTATGAGCTGCAATACTAACGGTCAGCACCGGTGCATTTGTAGACTACCAGTAGTCCCCATTTTTCCTCAGGGATAGTAGAGCGAGCGAAATACGAGCGCGCATGAAATTAATCAACCCACGCGAGAAAGGCGCGACGCGGCTTTCCCTGAGAAAAAATGAGGACTACTCGTAGTCTAGAGCATTTGTGGTATTAGTAAGCTATTGTCTATTGTGATGTGGGGTCGAGTTGTTTGGTCAGTATTGTTCAGTCTCTCTTCAACGTTTTCGTTTTAGCAACAGGACGGAAACGACAGTTGACGAAGGCGCGCGCAAGTCAAACAACTGTCTTGACCAATGGCAGAGCGGTAAATTAGGCAGTTGGGTTTAGCCCTTTCCGCACGCTTTCCACGTCGTCAACTAACGTTTCCGTTCTGTTGCTACATCAGCCTATTGTTAATCGCCCTAGCTTTTAAGCACTAAGCTTTCCATAGCGAGCGAGTCCGCTATCCTCGGCTCCTTCCTGAGAGACCTCTGCTAGCAGGGAAGCTGATGATGAACAAGAGTAGAAAATTAAAATGGCCACAAATTTATGACAGCCCATACTTTCGGAGCTTTTCAAATGGCCTGAACGGAATGGGGGGAACCACAGTGCCATTACAGCTTCGCGAGGTTTTTTTGCCATAAACGTATTTCTAGTAATGCAAATAATGTTTATGTAACACTGGCTCATTCTTCCACTGTGCATGCATTGCCTATCGAGATATGAGGCACTTGAATTGGAAAGTTCAGAGAACACTCAAATAAAGTAGCAAAACGATCGTCCATCTCCTGAAATTTCACACAAGAGCCGCGCA